GCGTCTTTTGTAGAGAATCATGTTCTGATATAAATTCTCTACGTCTTTGGTATACTTTGTGTATACGGGAGTTCTCTCCCTTTTGATTAATACAATTTACCTTATAAAAAAAAAACTATTAGCCTCGTGAAAAGCTCAAGTCATAAATAAAGAGTTCTTGCATTTTGTTGTCACGAGATACTCTAGCTGACAACTAGGATTCACTTCGTGGTCTTGATGGGGTTTCAGTTTGTCCTGTTTGTTTTCTTCTGGATAAGATAAGGTTTTCCTTTCCAAAATGTTATCGCTTTGACGGATACCTCTTATTTGCTGGAGAGGTGGCTGTCTCGATCTTAGTTATTCTGTGAAGTGAATTTGAATTTTATCCTGTATTCCCTGTCTCAACTTGTTTATAAAAATTTGGTTAATGGCCCCTCCTTGAGTTCTAAACCTGCAGATTCATGGGTTATTACAAACCCTAATTCTAAGCAAATCCACTATCCTATGTGCCCCTCGGCTGTTGCCCTGTACAATAGAGTTGGTCTAACAACACCTCTTTAAAACTTACCTTTAAGTCTTGGTGACACATTGTTATCACATAGGACACAAGATGCGAGTCTCCATTTCATCCACCCCGTTCCAATACGATGTCTGATATCATCGTCGATCTCCCCATTTTCTTGGATTGTTGACACAAGATACCTGAGCTGCCTCTCTTGGGGATGACTTGTGTATCAATCTTCACTTCCACATCCGCCTCATGCGATGCGTCATTAAACTTGCATTCCATGTACTTTGTTTTAGTCATGCTCAACCTGAAACCTTTAGACTCTAAGGTCTGTCTTCAAATCTCTAATGTATTATTAACTCCGCCATGTGCTAATTCATCTTCCGGGAAAAGCAATTAACAAGTTGATATCGAAGAAGATAATTCTGCGAGAAAACAAATATTTTGTATGTAATGAGGGTCGGTGCTGAAAAAAGTACAAAATTCATAATATATGCTGACCAACATAAAAAGGACAGCACTATCAAAATGTTACCCATCTGATGCTACGGAGCATGGAAGACACCCTTACTATTAGCCTCGTGAAAAGCTCAAGTCATAAATAAAGAGTTCTTGCATTTTGTTGTCACGAGATACTCTAGCTGACAACTAGGATTCACTTCATGGTCTTGATGGAGTTTCAGTTTGTCCTGTTTGTTTTCTTCTGGGGTAAAATTAGGTTTTCCTTTCCAAAATGTTATCGCTTTGACGGATACCTCTTATTTGCTGGAGAGGTGGCTGTCTCGATCTTAGTTATTCTGTGAAGTTGAATTTGAATTTTATCCTGTATTCCCTGTCTCAACTTGTCTATAAAAATTTGGTTAATCGCCCCTCCTTGAGTTCTAAACCTGCAGATTCATGGGTTATTACAAACCCTAATTCTAAGCAAATCCACTATCCTATATGCCCCTCGGCTGTTGGTTTATATCTCAAATCTGGAATCAGAGGTTGAAGGAAGGGCATAATTGTCATGCATCCACTTAGTTCTCTTCTTACACTGTCAAGTGAGACCATGTCTATGATTGGCTAGTTGAATAACTCATGAGTGCTAGTCGTTGCGTTGTGGTCCGTTTCCCGACTTCGCTTGCTTTGCATTTCTGATTGGTTCCAGCCATTCCCAACCTTAATGAATGAACTATAAAGGGGTCAGTCAAGCGGTTCACCATCCAATCTAACCATCTCTCCGGAAGCCCTTTCCCTTCTAGTAGACCTTCATCGTTATTGAAAAATAGGTTGTGACCAACAGCCATCAGCTCTCAGCTTGTTGGTAAGGTGAGAGCACCCTCTTGATAGAGCAAGAAAATGATTATTGCTCCTTTCTTTTTGAAAAGTGGGATGCTATATCCAGGATTGGGATCCGTAAATATGTTAATAGATGTTATTATTGAATCAACGCGGACAAGAATTTCATAGCACAACAATAAACTAACAAGGCTATTGTAACACATGGAACCATCCAGGATGTGGAGGATACAAATCACAAAAGAATTTGTAAGACTGTTTAAAATTTATTTTAGAGCTTTATGACACTGAACATATGACAGTATTGGACATTTGACATATGGGTTCATGGGGAAGAATAAAACTCATTTTTTTGCTTGCATTTGGATTTGTAACATATCTGATGAGTTCCCAAGTGCAGTAGACTTACAATATAGAACTTTTTTTATTGATACAGAATTATGAGAGTGAACGAGAAGTTACAGAAAGAAAATTTGGACATTAACTTCGTGAATTGTTCTAGAACAAACAACATGCACTAGCAGCTTTTTCATAAAATTTGTGTGTTTCTTATGTAGGGACTTATACACAGACTTTCCGGTAGTTTTAGCAAAAACTATGTCCCAATTTTTCTTGTTCTGCAACGTCAACTTCCTCTTTCACTCCCTAGACACTAATATCTCATTAAATTTGGCTGTTTCTGGAATTAGTCTCAACTTTTTCCAAATCCCTAACATAATTTTGCTTTTTTAGGATCAGGGAGCAGTTAGGTTCTTGTAGTTTGTGTTTATTAAATTTGTTATAATGCAGCGGAAGTTGCAATTTCACTTGCAGCTCTCAGTGTTGTACTCTCCAACACTTGTCCCTAATTTTGGAAATAATATGTCCGAGATCTGTCTATATCTTTACATGTAAGCTTTCACAATTTTACCTGGAAAATTTAAGAAGCTTGGAGATCTAAGGTGATCTATCCTCATTATCTACTTTTCTCTCCCTGTTTCTGTAGTTAACACTGTTATAGCTGATGAAAATATTCAGTCATTTCCCCCCTGTTAATTTTAGATCATAGACCCGTGTTTGTGCTGGCTCATATCCACCTTTGGTAGTTATTTGCCCCCGTACCTTATTTACAAGCAATGCTTACAACTCTGCATAGACATCCAGTGCCATAGCTTTCCACTGGCATTGAGTAGGCTGTTGTACTATAGGTGAAGAAAAGAAAAGAAAAGAAAAGAAAAGAAAAGAAAAGAAAAAGAACAGAGTGATTTACTTCCCTGTTTGGAATTTTTAAATTGGTCAGTACCATTCCCAAAATGCATTGCATATCTGTAGAAGAAATTTACTCTTTTACTGCATGTAGTTGTGCAAATCTTCCACATCCATGGGGAGGCTTATTTTTTGGAAGCCACCTGTAGGTGTGTGTCATCTTATATCTGTACTATACTGTCCTAACTAGGGTAAACTGGAATGGTCAGCCTTCTGTTTTTGTTCTTTATTTGTTTATATATTTTTTGCTCTGCATGGTTTGCTTACAGTTTGTTGTTCTTGTATCCTTATTACCAGGGAGACGGGACAACTCCAAGTTCTAAGTGCCCACCACCAATCTGGAGGAGTATGTCACTTAAACCACTTTTTCGATCTGTGAGTTCGATTGCTGTAATCAACTTTATAATACAATATCCTTTCAGGAACGGTCTGTTTCAACCATTCTTTACCTAGTTTCTCTGCAAGACCTAACAAATTGCCCCTTTAGAGTGGTGGATGAAATAAATCAAGGTCAGTTATTCATTTACAGTATATGTTATTCTCAGTTTTCTGGATGCAAGAAACCATCGTGTACATTTGTGCTTTTAGGAATGGATCCTATCAATGAGAGGAAAATGTTTCAGCAACTAGTGCGAGCTGCCAGCCAACCCAATACACCGCAGTAAGGGAACTCTCTTTAACCTTCTATTCTCATAAATCTCTTACCATTTCATGTCTAAAGCAGCAGCAACTTATGCGCTGAAATAATTTGCTTATGTCCTTGTGATAAATGAACACGGCGTGTGTATGCTTTTTTCAATCGTTGTAGTAGTAACAAACATCTTAGGGATTTTTTAGAAGGTTTCTGCAAATTGTTTGGATCTCTACATGAAATTCAGTTTTAATAATGACCTTTGATGTAGGGAGAATATGGAGTTCGTGTATACATTAATCTGCAACAATTTTCACGTGGCCGGTATATCTGATTCTCTAAGATTAAGAGGGGGATAAGTTTCTTCAATGGTCTCCAGATTGTTTTTTAATACGTCTTAGTTCAGATGGCAAAGTACATAAATTGAGGTTCTTAGAAATTAGTAGTTTATATCTTGACGGTAATAATTTTGATAAGAAAATTTGTCATTAATCTCTCTCTTTGTATACCTGTGGTCTACTTTGAAATACTGCTCCAAGTAATCAAACATGTTCCTTTTGCCCTTCGAGAAATCTGAATGAATTCGTCAGTATTTTGATAGCTGCACCTCGCTTCCCACCATGCAGATGCCCCTGTTAAACTTGAAAAGTATCCTCAATCAGATTTTCTTCACGATGTTGTACTAGGGCTGCAGATTTAATTTCCCTGTTTGAGTTGATTCTAGGATCTGATTGGTGACAGTGGTCATCCCAATGCGCATGTAATAAAGTTAGGCTGAAATCTGATGAGTAATCAGCAATAGTAAACGTAATATAATGGCTAGCCCCTCGAGAGAGATCCCTTCGCAACTGCTATCAGAGTGCATAGACACCACTGATCACCAAGCTTCTGCGGCAAGGACACAGATATAAAGACAAGGGATCCATTTGTTTTCACCCTTCTACGCTGAGAAACGTCAAATATTAATTTTTATGGATGACGTATTTTCCATGAACTCTTGAACAGTCAACTACTCTATCAGAAGGAGCATATCCATATGCAGTTTTGATTTCTTTATATTAACGTGAATATTCTTTGTCTAGGTAGCCATTCCTTGTCCTGCCAATCCCCTTCCTGCATATCTTTGAGAAGTTGATGGAACTAGTCCTTGTCCGCCTATTTCTGATTCTGTCAATTCCTGTGCAGGTGCTTTTTGCTTACTCCAAAGTTGCTCCCTAATCTGGAATACAGCGAAGCATGCAGCATTTTGACTGTAATGAATGGTCCTTGGATTGAGCAGCCATCCAAAGGTTTCCAAGCACTTGAACCAATACCATATGTTTGTAGTCATAACGTTAACCAGTTACTAAATGCCTTCTTTCCGGTTCTAAATTGCAGCTTGGAGTGGTGGAGAATGCTGGAGGTCTGTGATGGGACTAATGGAGGAACGTTGTCGCTGACTAGAAGCAGAAATACTTTAGGTAGATTCGAACAGGAATTGTCCATAAGAAAAATTTGCTTCCTTGTTGATCTGCCATTGCGCTAGTTACAAGCTGAATCATGGTCGCTCAGCTATGTTTTTTGAAAAATCTGTTATTACTGGCCCTTGTTCTAAAATAACATAATTCTTTTGTACGCTTAATTCATAATATGCTACCCTTGTTTATTGTAACATAGAAAATACGTCTGTTCTCAGGTACTCCTCTGTTTGAACTCTCATTAAAATGGTCCTCCATTCTCTTTTGTTATTTTCAGAGTGTTTATTTTTTTCTAGAAGATAAATAAATGTCTATTACTCCTCGAACAACAAAGGAATGCTTTTCATTCTAGTCCCTTTCAAGATATTCTTTTAACTTCGAAAAGTAAAATTTTTCGGACCCATAATATGCAAAATGGTTACGCGTGAGTTATTGTCACTTTATGCATTTTGTTACGTTATTACTGAAAGGAATAAGCTATATTTGGCTCCATACGTTCTTTTAGCTTTGAATTCTCCTGTTCTCGGTGAATTTTGTAGAGAGCACAAAAGATCTTTATTCAGTCTCTTTTTTATAGCTTATCTTGTACTCTTTTAGATCCAACAAGAGTGAAGGGGTCTCAGTATAAAGGTAGAGCATCTAATTTTTGGTTGGAAAATTACTCTTATCAGCTGATGCATCATTTCAACCAAATTAGGCCCATATTTTACCTTTTTATCCAATTTGGCCTATTTTTAATATAACTTAATTTTCTTTCATCCCTTAAACTAACATTAAAGATGGAGACTTCAGAAGAGTTTCAAGGACGAAGAAGAAGACGTGAGCTCTATTGATAAGATATATTTGTATAATATTGTAAATATTGTATAATTGTGTATAGGGGTGTATAAACACCTTTTATATACTATTATATACAAGGTTGATACATTGTTTTACAGAAATTTGGTGAATTTCTCACCTATAAACATAGTGTATCGCCAACATACTTTTCGCTACTGTGCTTATATATCTTTATACACTTTTATACACCCATGTACATAATGTACTTGTCTTGTATAAAAGGGTATAACATTGTATAAAAGTGTTTACGTGTTTCTAGACGAAATTCTTTTATGATTTTAAATTGCAATTCTTATTCAAAATCAATTCAAATCTCCTTAGACTATTTCTAATAAGTCAAAATAACACTCACTCTAAATTTCTCACAAAATCAGATTCAAAACTTAAAAACCACTTGTTTGCTTATTTAACGATGGTGGATTACCTTTAAAATTTAATTTTCACCACCCAAATAGTGATTTTTAGAACTAATGTTTGAGTTACAATTGTTGATTCATAAATTGGGTTAAACGTTTGAGCTTTAAAAAATAATAATCTAAATAGCGATTTCGAGAACCTATTTCGGCAATAGCTTTGTAAAGCTGTATATGAGTCATTCGGTTACAATGTATATTGGTGTACTGTATTATAATGTAATTTTCTCTTTTTGGTTTAGGAGTCATTTCTATACCTTTTAAAATTGAAATTTATATATTTTAAAATTACTTATATTATAATCACTTCATTTCAGTTTATTGGACACCGTTTTCTTTTTTGTCTTTCCTAGTAAGATGGTCGTGTTTTTATAATTAAAAAATAGTTTATTTTAGCATTTTCCATTTCCAAAAACAAATTGTTTGACATAATGGTTGGCAGGTAGCTGGTGGCTTTTGTGTTTCTTTCACGACGTAAACCAAGAGGTCATGGCTGTTACTTAGTGAGTTTATTCCACTAAGTGAACCATTTCAACTTGCACTTTACTTAATCAACATCAATACATTCATCAAGCTAAACCATAGTAATGATTAATTAACTGAACATAAACGGAATAGAATCCAATAAGTTAGGAATCAAAGTACATAGCAAAAGTAAGGATGTCCTACAGAATAGTACTTAATGTATAGGGATTAATTACCCAATTAAGGGTCGTCCGGTTGACGGTATATGAATAATTAATTTCAACATAAATTTCGTATAAAATAGTAAATGTATAATGAGCCGCATAAGAAAAACAACCGCCTCATAACTTACACTGTTTTAATTGACAGTATTAAATAATATCGTCATTAAGTTGTTCGAGAAATTATATATTATTTTATGTGAAAATATAATTTGAAATAAAAACACATGTATTAGCAATATAATGATTAAACTATTAAAAGACAATAATACTCTTTTAGAATAAATATTCATATATAACAATCTCATCATTATTAATTATGAATCCCTAAATATTTTTATACTATAATCTTCGCAAAACCAAAATGCGAACCAAATAACTCTTAATAGTATTATAAATTTATGATACCTCCATATCATGTTGGCAAATCAAACGACCCCTACCACGTAACGTGCAGTGCCGACCCAAGGGTAAGGCTGCTAAAGCAGTTGCTTTGAGCCTCATAATTTTTTGGGCCTCAAAATTTTCTAATAGGTTATATATTAATTTATTTTTAAAAGAATATTTAGTGCTTTAAATGAGAAAATATAAATTTTTATAGTAAAAAAGTACGATTAAATTGTTGATCATAAATTGAGAAAAAATATCTTTTTGGGAATCACTCTCTAGACCATAACTCAAAGAAGGTTAAAACTTTAATACAGTCCCACAACGTGTATATTTCAAGAGAAATTAAATGGATTAGATAAAATTATTAATAACTTTGCATATGAAAAACTAGAATTACAGAATTTAAATAAAATTATATATAAATTTTTTCTTTTATATAAAAAAAAGGCCTCTTGTTGAATTTTTGCTTTAGGCTTCCATATTTATTGAGCCGCCCGTGTAACGTGTTATCTGTTTTTATCCTCCCCAAGAAACTTGCATCCACAAAGGGCTTATATGACAATAATTCAAAATCTAACAGGGTTCAAATAACACCTTCTCAAACTTCATTCGGTCAAAATGGTAAATATTTAATATACCTTACTAGAGACACTCTCTTATCTCATTATCAACATACACCAAATGGATATGCATATATATTGATTATTCACCACAATTACAATCCCTTCAACAAACAGAGGTCTCTCTCGTTCAACAATGGCTTCCACAGCTACACCCTCTACTCTCACTCTATCCTCACTTCTCTCACAAGAACTCAACCCCAATTCCTTACTTTTCAAACCAAAGCCTCTCCTTTTCACACCCCACAAGTCCTTTTCTCTACACCCACTAATCCTCCATTACAAAGAAAGGAAGTCCAATGGACCTATTGTTGTTACTGCTGCTATGGCTGCTGAAGCTGAGGTTGATGAGGCTGTTGACGAAGAAGGTGGAGAAGGCGCTGTTGCTGTTGCAATTCCAACCTCTAAGCCCAAGAAAGGCAAAGCTGCTTTGCCCTTGAAGAGGGATAGAGTATGTTGAACAACTCATCTTTTCTCTTGTTGATTTTATTGGATTTAGAAGTTAAAGATTTTTTTTTCCGTGTTATATGCGGGATTAGCTTAAATTTTGATATTGCTATAAAAGTGACTTCTTTTGCCCATGAAGAGAGGGATAGAGTATGTTGAGCTACTAATCTTTTTCTTGTTGATTTTATGGATTTAGATGTGAAAGATTTTTCTTTTCGTGTTATATGTGGGTTTTGCTTATTTTTTGTATTTTGTTGATTCTTGTGATGGCATTAATAGCTTGTTTGGATGTTATTAACAGATAAGTAAACAACGCGACCACACCAGGTTGTTCCATAGAGTGGCATTTTTCGTCGTTACATAACTACGGATTTAACGATACGATATGATAAAATTTAAGTAACAATCAAAACAAATATTGTATTTAAAGTAACAATACGATACAATACAACATAATAGGATTTTTTAATAATAAGGAAGGACAATATGAGAGAAAAAGATAAGGAAACGACGCGACCACATCAGGTCGTTCGGCATTTTTCGTCGTTACATAACGACGGATGTAACGATACGATACGATAAAATTTAAGTAACAGTCAAAACAAACATTGTATTTAAAGTAACAATACGATACAATACAACAACTAACAACCATCCAAACAAGCTGTTGCTTTAAAAATGACTTTCCCCGGGGGTTAGCTCAATTGGCAATGGTTGGGGAACTTAGGTCACAGGTTTGAGCCTTGTGCCAAGCGAACTAACTCTGGTATTTAAATGCAGAAGGGTAGAGGATGGCCCGTCATCCCCTCCTTTTTTGATTTCTCGGTCATCAAAAAAATAATTACAGTACAAATGACTTCCTTGCTCCTGTATAGGGATAGAGTATGTTGAGCAACTGTCTTTTTCTTGTTGATTTTATGGATTTTAGATATGAAAGGTTCTTTTTTTTTTCCGTGTTATATGTGGTGGGGTTTGCTTAATTTTTGTATTTTGTTGATTCTTGTGATAATATTGCTATAAAAATGACTTTCTTTGCTCATGAAGAGGGATAGAGTATGTAGAAACTCTCCATTTCTTGTTAATTTTATGGATGTTAGATGAAAGTTTGGTCCTTGTTTGTTTGTATGATATGTGGGTTTTGCTGAAGTTTTTTATTTGTTGATCTTTGTGATGATATTACTGTCAAAATGACCCGTTTTGGCATTTCTTGGTTCATTTTTTTTGGGGTGAACTTGTCTGAGTTTCTTTGCTCATGTAAATTTGGTGATTTAAACCCTACATGTTTGTTTGGTGCAATGATTAGATCATTCAGTAATTTATTTTAATGTAGTAGGTGATTTCTTTGCATCTGTCTAAGCCTTGATGGACTGAATAGTAGGTAGCAGGTACCCGGTGGATTAATCGGCAGTGCACAAGCTCGCTCAAACAAGAAAAATTATAATATAATACCGGGATTATGAAGTGGAATTAAATAATACTGAGATTACAATTTCATAGGAAGGGAAAAGAAATAATGGTTAGGGAAGACTATATTTATCTTGTGGTTGGCAAGTCACATCACAATTTTTGCAGTTTTACGCTATGTATCATTTCAAAGGAAGCTTGTTTTTTATATGCTTACTGGCAAGTTTTTCCATGACCCATGCTTTCCTGTTTGTATCGGAGGACAATTTTATCATAAGTTACTTTTGGTGTAATACTAATAAAGTGTGGTAAAAGAATCTTCTTTTAGAAAGTGGAATCATGATGGAAAAGATCAATCACCAACAACGAACAATCAAATTTTTGATGCAGCAAGTGCTAGGCTATGAGTAGCGGAATTGAGATAGGCCATTTAGACTTCCTCATGTGATCCTTGTCCTAGTATTTCAGACATCTTTAGTAAATATGCAGTCTGGAGGTTGAATATCTTACATGTTTCTGCATTTGCTTCCTTCTTTTGACCAGTAGTGGATGTCACTCTACAGGTGAAGAACCTTGCACTTTTCAGATGCTAGTTGTGGAAGATCATCTCTATTGATTTTCAAACTACATTTCTGATATATGTACTTTTCCTTAGTTGTTACCTTAAGCATCAAAATTCTCTGTTTCTCCCTCTCTTATTTACCCATTGCTCCATCTATTTCTCATAAACTGGTTGATTTTTTTTTTTTTTT